AATTAATTCAACAGAAAACATACCAAAAACAGAAAATGAAAGTATTACAGAAGAAATTAAAATTGAAGAAGAAGTTATTGAAAATGGTAAAGAACAAATAAACGAAGAAAGTATTGAAATTAAAGAAGAGATTAATAACAATGAAACAGAAAATCAAAACAAAACAAAGAAAACAAAAATAACACCAAAAGTTGAATGGGAAGAAAATATTTTTGAATGTGCTAAGAATGAAACAACTAGATTTAATTTTGTTATACTATATCATCCATTAATTAGTTTTATGAGTAGAAATTATCAACGATCAAAAGAAATATTAAAATGGTTTGATGATGTTGATGAATCATTTAAACAAATTGGCGAAATGATTAATAACTTTGAATCAACTCTGTATTCATTAAAAAAAGAAATCAATGAAAATGAAAGTCTTGAAAATGAAAAGAAAGAAGAATTTTTAAAGGAATTAAATGAACAACAAGAGTTTTTAGAATTTAATACTATTGATGATATTAAAGTAGACGAATTAACTAAAAGAGTAGAAGTTATTAAATCTATTACTGAATTCCTTCATCCTGAATTAAATGAAAAAATTAACGACAACCAACTCAACGAGACTGTAATAAATATGACTGAATTAAATAAAAATGAAAATGGTTCAACAAAAGTTGAACTTTAAAGCGATAATTTATTGGAAAAAATTGATTTATTTAAATAAATTCATTTTCTTTTTTATAAAAGAAGAAAAATATAAATAAATTATATTCACAAAAAATGTTATTATAAATTTAAAATAAAATATAAGATTTTAAGGGAACTTTTTACTCCAAAAATAAAATAATGAAGGGAAAAACTATAAAAATATAGAACTTAAAAATATAACAAAATGTCTGAAAAATCAATCTTCAGATTCAATAAAAAAGATTTTTATGATAGAACGAAGAAAAAGACACAGTGCCCTGAATTAAATGTTCAAGAACTTACTATCGAACCATTACAAAATTCCTTTAATAATGATATAACTAATACTATCCCAGAAAAAAAAGACCATATACAAACTCAAAGGAAAGCAGTTAATAATACAAACAAAATAAACGGTCTCTCATCAGAAATTTCATCTAAAACAAAAGAAAGAGTTACTCGGAGTAGTGTTTATGGAAAAAAAATTGAAAAACAAGAAAAAAAAATTGAAGAAAATGAAATAAAAGTTAGAAGAAGCTCTCGATTAAGTTCAAGAAAAAGTCTTGGACTTGAGAGTGTTCCTGAAAGTTTGTACGAGGCCCCACCAACAGTACTAAGCCCTAAAATAAAAAGTACTAGTCCTCAAATTTTATTTGAAAAAGAAGGATATAAAAATAGAAGAATGTCATGGAGGTCAAAGAATTCAAGTGAAGAGAGAAGAGACATTTCATTAATTGCAATGGACGAAGACTCTCCACGAGTCTTATCAGATAAAGATTTAAAAAATATATTAAAGAGTGAAGAAAAAAAACAAAAATTATTAGCTTCAATGGATTTAAAACAAAAATCAGAAATACTTCTTGATATCCAATGTTTGAGTAGTCACATTGTAACTATTGTTAAAGTTTATTTTTTTTTCTACTGACTAATACTTACATATTAATACTTATGAATTTAGGAACCATTACATTTAACAATTAGTGAAGTCATTCAAAAATATTTAAAAACAAATACAAAAGAAATTATTGATATTGAAGATCTTGTTTTTAGAAGTCAAACGGGAAAAATAATATCAAAAAATTTAACAATTAGAGGGGCATTAACATTAAATGGAACTTGTATATTTGTTTGTTTTAATAACTATCCATTTTCTTTACCAAAGAGTTTGTTTAAATAGTTTTAGATTATTAATTTATATTTATAAAATATTAGTTTATCCAACTGACATTAGTATTAACAATTCAAAAATTGTTATTCCTCAAGTTGTGTTTAATCTATGTTGGTGGATTTACACTTATGGTTATTTAGTCGAAGGAGTTTTTAGGGTTTCTGGAGATACTGAATTTACAAAGAAAAAAGCTGAAAAATGTGTTATAGGTGATACATCTTTTCTATTTCAAATGCATAGAAGAGCAAGTGATGTTCATAATGTTGTAGGAACATTAAAAACATATATAAGAGAATATACAGACGGATTAATAGACTACAATTTAGTTAAACAATTATCATCAAGTTTATCTCAAGAAGTTGATTTTGCAGTAGAAGTATTAAAGAAAATACCTAGGGAAGATTTATTATCATTTAGTATATTATATGGACTAATCAATAGACTAGTTAAATATAGCTCTATTCATATGATGACATTAAAAAATTTTTCAATGATTTTAGGACCACTAATAATTCATATACCATATGAAATTAATCCTTTAGATAGTACTTGTTATCAAATTGATTTTAGTAATATCCTACTTAATAATTATCAAGAAATTATTCAAAGAATTGGACTTACTAATCCATTTGAAGAATTACCTAGTCGAGATGATATCCAAAAATTTAATAAAAATGAAGTTAATGAGTCTTTACAAATAATACGTTCAGCGTCAATAACAACTTGTTTTGAACTTGAGAGGTTAAGAAAATTAATGGAAAATCCTGAAGTTATTCAGTATATCCAAACATTAAACCCATCTTTAATAGTTGATGTTATAGCTGTTATAACTGAATATCTTTTATATTAACTATGTAGTTATTTATTTCTTCAAGTTTTATTTTAAATAAAAAATTATATTTAGTTATAGAAAAAAAAATAAATATAAAAAAAGGAAAATATTAAACTCTTACTCAGTTTTCTTAGAAGCAGTTTCAGCCATTTGTTGTTCAAGTTTCATTTGTAATCTCTTTCTAACAAATGTTTGTTGTTTGATAACACTCTTTGAGAAAATAGCTTCTGGAATAGTAGAAGTTCCAATGTCCATTAAATAATGGAACCAATATGGATTAATATGATTTTGTTGACCGAAATATCTAAAAGCATAATCAACAAAGTCAGATGGTGTTAATGCATAAATTGCATTTTCTCTGATTTTAGTCATATCAGTCTTGATATACCATGGAGTGTAAGCAATAACATCAATCTTACCTTTATATTCAGCATAAATGGAGTCAGTAAATTGTCTAACAAAGGCTTTAGTAGATGAATAAACTTGAATTAATGGGTGTGGGTATCCAGATGTAGATGATGACATGTTTACAATTAAACCTTTTTCTTTTCTTCCTTCCATCTTTGGAATACAAATATGAGTCATCATTAACAAAGTTCTTATATTCAAAGAAATCATATTGTTAATATCTTTTAATTCAAGTTGTCCGAATTTACCTGGAAGATAATTACACATTCCAACATTGTTGACTAATACTCCAATATCATAATTAGCAATTAATTCTTCGACTTTATTCCATTCATTATTTTTATCCATAGCAATAAAATCAGCAACATAATCAACAACATTTACATTATATTTTTCTTCAAGTGTTTTCTTTAATTCAACAAGTGGTTCAGCAAGTCTATCCATAATAATTAAATTAAATCCTTCTTTAGCAAACTTTTCAGCAAAAGCTTTTCCAATTCCTCCAGCAGCCCCAGTAACGATACAATATGTCTTTTCTCCTTTATACCTTTTAGTGTCAGTTGGGGAATAATAATGGTTTAATAATAACTTTCCATAAGAAAATAAGTCCTGGAATGACAGTGATAATAGCTACAATTCCTCCAAGAACTCCAAGAAGTAAGGCACCAATATTTTTAACCATCTTCTATTTTTTTCAAGTTCTTTCTTATTTTTTAAATAATAAAAGGTTTGAAAAGACTATCTCATTCTTTCACAACCCTTAAACAAATTCCTTTAAAAAATTCCATTTTATGTCTTAAAATTACTCTAAAAAATATAAATAAAATTTATGAATTATAAATTTGTTAACCCTTTCACTCCTGTTTCAAATTTTTTACAATTACAGAACCAGGTATTAGTAATGCACCTCCTTGTCTCCAAATCATTATGTGAAGAATGACAATTAAAGAAAATAAAGTAAGGTAAAAAGCGTCATGAATAAAATGACTTGGAACTCGTTCTGCGTCAAATAAAACAATTCCAGATTTAATCTTTTTGATAGTAACATGATTTTGAGATATGAAAAGAGAGTAATTTTTATCAGTTGCAAGTAGGTCTGTAGTTTGATTGTTTATGTGAAGTTTTCCTAACAATTTGTTATGACTGTCTATTAATTCAACTGTTTTTTCTCGGACAATTATTTGGTAAAGTATTTCATTTGTATATATTTCAAATACATTATCATACAAATCGTTTTTAATAATAGTATAACTTCTAGTTTTAGAAGCAAATTCACCTTCAAAAAAAGGTAGTGCGAATGAAGAATAAAAGAGAAGTAATAAGAGCATGCAAATTAATAATTATTAATTTAAGATCACTTCATTAATTTAAAATAAAGAAAAATAAGTTAAAACCAAGTAATTACAATTAAACATATCTGTAATTAAATTACTTGAAATAATTGGAAAAGTTATTGATGTTAAATAAAATATGTATTATGTAGATAGTAATTAAGGAAGAAATAAAATGAAAGAGAAGAAAATTAAAAGAGCAGTCATTTTATTTATTATGAAGAATTGATTAAAGTAATTTTCATTATAATATTCAATCAATTGAATTTATTATGAAAAATAGAAAGAAATAATTTAAAAAGAAATCAATTAGTTAAAAAATGACATTATAAAATAAGAAAGAAGAGTTTGAAGCCATACTTCTTTATTTTAATTTAACCAATTAATATTGAATAAACTGTCAAGGTTTTGAACAACAGAAAATGCAAAAAGAATAATAGAAATAATTAATACACACCAAGCCAGTCTAGAAGTACTATACACTCCTGAATAAATTGTTGTTGAAGCTTTTTTACCAAATTGAAATTTATAAGTTTTTTTAGAGAAAATTTGGAACATTGAAGGTAGAATAAGAATTAATACAAATCCAAATATTCCAGTAAATCCAAATATTTTTGATAAATCAGCTTTAATCATTGCTAATAATAAAGGTGGAAATGCAGCTAAACACTTAGAACTAAAAGAAACTTTTGAAGTATTTTCAGATGAAAGTTGTGAAATATTTGAAGCTAGTGTAGCACTTACTAATGGATATTCTGATGTTAAATTTACTAAAGGAAACATAAGAATAGTAATTTGAATAACATATCCATACCATCTTATTTTATGGTCTTGACATATTCCAAATCCACCATCACACCCAGTATATTCTAACCAATTTGTTGTTATTGGTGATACTGTTTTCTTTCCAAAACAAAGTGCACCAATAATTCCAAGAGTAATATAAATTATTGTTGCTGACAATAATGTAATAAATATTAATTTTTTTAATTTTCTTTTATCTTGTAATGGTGCTACACTTTCAGGAATATTATGATGACATGCAAGTGATACTGAAATAACTGAAAAAGCAGCTCCAAATCCATTTAAATTAAATAAAGCAATTGGATCAATAATATCATCATCAGAATATGAAGGTGATCGATACAATAAACTAATAAAGGATGTAAAAATCATTAAAAAAATAGCAGCAAATCTATACATTGTTAAGAATTTTGAACAAATGCTG